TCTTCCCTCTGGTGCCCAGGGACAGGAGTGGAGGGAACAGCTGCAGCTGAGTCGGGGCAGGCTCAGGTTGGATGTCAGGAAAAGCTTTCTGCCCAGGCTCCCCAGGGAAGGGTCCCAGCTCCAGGACTCTCTGAGCTCCAGCAGCGTTTGGACAGCACTGCCAGGGCCAGGCTGGCATTGTTGGGGTGTCCTCTGCAGGGCCAACAGTTGGACTGGAGGATCCTGATGGGTCCCTCCCAGCTCAGCCAATTCTGTGGTTCTGGGATCCCATGAGCCTGGGGATGGGACTGCCAATGGTTGCCATGGCAACGAGCTCTGGCTGTAGGCCTGCGCTGGCTTCCATGGCAACCACCCCTGGCATGGGGTCTCCATGGAACTGCCAGGGGACTGACCATAGCAACAGGGGGCTGGTGATGGTTGTCATGGAAACTGACCATAGCAACAGGCAGCTGGTGGTGGTTGCCATGGAAACTGTCCAGAGCAATGGGTTCTGGACAGCTAAGGAACTGAGTTGCTGCAGGCACTCAGAGGGATTCCATGGGAGGCGCCCTGATTTTTTAAGATTTTCTAAGATATTGACGTTCTTGTAGCGAACTTTCTCACAAACTTGCTGTAAATAACTCATTGTTTTGCATTCCTTTATGGAGGAGGAGAAAGTTGATGGACTCTTGGTTTGTCCACTGTCATTGGAGAGGTGGCAATCCACTGTCACTCTTGGGAAACTATAAATGTTGGAGTCAGAAAATAAACTTTCCTTTTTTTTTCACCATGAGAAGAGCGGTGTGCACTTGTGTTTTTTTGTGTCCTATAGCAACACATGGAGACATTCCAAGGGTCTCCAGGCCGTTCAAGAGCTGCAATGTCACACACAGAGACAGGGGCTCCATGGAGACCTCCCAGGGTTTTCTGGGGGTCGTAAAGAGCCCTGTGGTCAGAGGCAGTCACAGCCATTCCATGGTGACATCCCAGGGGACCTTGGGCTGAAAAGGCACCGATCTGTCACAGGCACTCACGGGGGCTCCACGGTGACACCCCAGGAGTCCCCAGGCTGCCAAAGAGTCAGGATGTCCCAGACACTCACAGGGGTTCCTGTCATGGGCAGAGTGGGAGCTTCAGGCAAAAGCTTTGTTTCTTCCTTGGAGAAACTCCTGCTGAGTCATGGGATGGAGAAATGGCACACAGCAGCCACCATAGAACCCATAAAACCTTCCAGAACCCCTAGACTTCTTTACTTCCATCTCAGAGAGGAGAAGGGGCGCCAGACATTGACAAAGGTGCAAAAGATTGGACAGGGGGAATTGAACTTGTCCCACAGGATTAATGATGGTATACCAGACAGATTTCTAGAAATACAGCTCTGATTGATTCTGATCATGATTAGACAGAAAGATCTTGATCAGAGTTATTTCCTCCACAGCATAGGAGATCTAACAATTAGAATATTCTGCTCTAGGCAGCAATTTTGAAGTCAACAGGGCCTTGCTGGAGTTGTTGGAGCACACTGCAGGCAGAGCCTCCTGCTCCAGCAGGACCTGCCTTTCCTGTGCCATGAGCAGGGCAGGTCCCACTGCAGGAAAAGTCCCAGGCCAGCCCCAGCACAGGGAAGGGCTCGGGCACAAGGGCAGAGCGCCGTGCTGGGAGCTGTGCCAGGGAGAGCCTGAGGCACCAAAGGCACCTTGGCAGCAGCAGCTGCTTGCAGGCCATGGCCAGAAGCCTCCCTTGGCAGCCTAGCCTGGTGGCCACCACTGCAGAGCTGCTGCTGCAGGGCTCATTCCTGGCTGGGCTCTGAAAAGCCACTTCTGCTCCAGGAGCCTGAATGGGAAGCCATTGGCCCCAGCACCTTGGGGACAAGATATTAATGACAAAACTCTTCATGCCAGCAGAGCCAAGGCAGGGGCAGAGGAAAGGGGAAAGCCAGGCCCAGGGCACAGGGCTGCCATGGTGATGGCTGTGAGGCCACTGCCCCTGCAGCAGCCTGGCTGCCCTCAGCAGACATTCTGGCCAGAAGCCTTGTGAGGGCACCCAGCACAGCAGAGAACACACACTACGGGAATTCTGTTCTTGGGGTGGGGAGGGTTTCACTGGGTCAGGCTGCACAAAGCTCCTGTTCTTGGACAATCCCTGGGATAGGGCATCCAATTCTCTAGAAAAACAGCTGCAGTTTCATGCCACTTTCATAACTGTAGAATATTTCTTCCTTCTAACAAATGTAAATCCACCCTCATTCAGTTTAAAGATATTGACCCTTTTTCTGTCATGGCAAGATTTGGGAGAAAATAACTTTGACCACAATTTTTCCATTTTCACAGACCTTATTTTTTTCCAAAAATCTCCCAGGATGGGGTTTTGGAGGCCTCATCACAAAACCAGCAGGGGGAGTCTGCAGGCTCTGGGCTCAGTGGTGTGGAAACTGAGGACAGAACAGAAGTAGCCTGGGAGGGATGGAAGGGTGGTTTCAGAGGGGCAGGAGCTTTTCTTCATAGTGGGAATGAGCCTGAAGAAGACATAATAGCACCAAGAGCAGCTGGGGAGGTGCAGAGGGCACACCAGCAGAAAGGAATTTCCCTACCAGGGCAGGGCTGTAGTGCAACACGTCCCCAGCAGTAGCCTGGAGCAGCCCAAGGCTCTGTGTGGGCAGGCAGAGGCAGGCAGGAGGCAGAGCTGTCAGCAAAGGAAGGGCTCAGCCAGGTGGGGCAGCTGGGGGATGCTGACAGCCTGCAGGGACAGAGGTGCAGGGCAGGGACAGCCTGGGCTGTACAGGGATGGGCAGCAGCTGCAAGACAGCCCTGACAGAGCCAACTTGGGCAGCACTTTGGCCATGGCTGCTAGCCCTGGGCCTGAGGCCATGTGAGAGTCTGTCCAAAATATCCTTCATTTTTGCCTCACGGTTGCCATGAAGAGAGACCTCCGAAAAATTAAAAACTGCTGAACCAGTGGGGGGGGGAGGGAAAATCATGTGCCTCTTAGCTCACTGTTTCCAGAGGTGTTGTTTGCTATATGCGACACTGAACTCGAAGGAGCACCCTGCCGTTTTTCCTGAACAAAAGGAATTTTTGTCCTGGAATTTCTCCCCGCCTCCTGGCCTGGCTGGTTTGAGCTTTAGCGTGGTCCCTTGTGGGGACCAAAATCCGACAGTCCCTCCTCCAAGAAAAGACCCCTCTAGCCTGTTCTCAACCATCGTGATAGACAAGTAGAGATGTAAGCCTTTTCATCAAGGACCCGAGATATGAAACCCCTGTGTGAGAAGGCCCCCTCTCACCTTCTTCCAGGAACTGCGACTGAAACCCTCCCAACTCGGGGGAGGTGTGCAGAGGGCAGGGAGGAAAGCTGCCCAGAGCAAGCACAAGTGCAGGCACTGGGCCATGAAAACAATGGTTCTCGCTTGCTGCCTGGCTCGACTTTGTGTACCCCTGAACAAATACTATTCTTTCCCCCTTGTTTCCTTCTCAAGGCGTGGCGACCTGGTTCTTAGTATGGCACGGTGGCCCTAACCCCAGGGTCACTCGGTCCATATGCCCCTGACACCAACGTGGTGGACAGCAAATGGCGTTTATTGAGGGGTCACAACGGTTTTTATAGCTTGGGTGTGATAGATAGGGACAGGCGTTCGGAAAATCTCACGATGTCATGGAAAGCAGCAGGATTCCTCTCCCCCTAACGTCTAGTGATAAGGGATCACCCAAGAATGTAGACCCCCCCTAACACTAGTAACTTTCCACTCCTTATTAACCAATTACAGTAAGGTAAGACCCCCTGACATAGAGAAAAACCTCCCAGATTATAAAACCCCACGAGACGGGGCAATAAAGGCCTTTGGACTGTCCACCACGTTGGTGTCTGCGTGTGTTCTTGGCCCGAGTGACCCTGGAGAGTTTGGGTCGCCGTGCCGTTTCCTCAGAACCAGGTCGCCTTGCCTTGCATCAGAAGGCAACAACTGGTGCCGAAACTCCGGGAGCCGATCAGCGCCTGGGGAACGGGGATTCGCCTGGAGAGAGGTCAGCGGCTGTGGCTGCAGGTCTGACCACAGTGGGAGGGACGTCTCCGGACCAGTTTGGATCATGGAATCGCTTGCGAAGGTCGTAACAGAAATGCATACACAATGGGGTATACAATGTAAAGTTAGAGATTTAACCCTCGCATTGCCGAGATTGATTAAGCTTGGGGCTATAGAAAGCCCTGTAGATATCCTACATCTGGGGGTGTGGGATAATTGTACTAAAACTCTAGCCAAGGATACCATGTCCTCAGGCTCGGGGAAAGCCCTTAAATTGTGGGGCAGAGTCATCCCGGCTCTGCAAAAAGCTCGACTAGAGCAAGAAACCTGGAAAGCTGTGAGAAGTTGTTTAATAGCAATTCCGCAGTTGGGGGTGGGAGCAGCGACACAGACCACCCCAGAAAGTGATCAGATTGAAGACGGGGATATGCGGGGGCTAGGCGTGTCCCACCTCCCCCCGAGCCCGAGCCCAAAACCCCCAGAACCCCCGGGAGACCCCTCAACCCCCCCGCGAAGCCCGCCAGATCCCAGGCCCCCCTTGGAGCCTCTCGACAAAACCACGGCTCCTCTACCCTTCCCTCCTCTGCCGACTGTTGACCTGACGCAGGAGGCAGAACAACAGGCGCAGTGTTTTTGGGGGGGGCTGGCAGAGGAGGTGCGGGAAACGGCGGGACGGTCAGAAACCGCCTGGACCGATAAAATCTCTCCGCCGCCGTATGGGTTCGAAAATGGCGACGAACCGCGTGGTCAGAGCGGAAGAGAAGAGGGGGAAAACGGCGGAAATACAGTCAGCCTGCTTAACATCCCATGCGCGGGCGAGCGGGGAGGGGGGGCGGTCCCCGCAGTGGAGTGTGAGACCAATCAGAGCGCTCTATTCAAATTAAGCCCGTATAAGGCAAGGACCTCCCCCAGCAGGGGGCCGGGAGACCCCAGGGGGAGGGAACGGTCCACCCCCCGCAGGAGGGGGCAGGGTCGGAGCCCGAGAAAAAGGCAGAGCAACCCGGAAATGCTCGACCAGTCGACTTCCGGCTCAGACTCGGATTCAACCTCTGAGTCCGAGAGGGAATCAGGGAGCTCCGATTCGGATTCTAGCTTTAACAGGGAGACAGCAACGGCACGTAAGGTTATTAATCACAACACTCCCACGTGGGTGAAGGGGTCATCAGAGAAAGACCGAACCCCACTTACAGACTGGCGAAAAATAAAGATAGCCTGCGCCGAGTACGCCCCTTCAGCCAATCTAGTGTTCCCAGTCCGTGTGGGGGGGGCAGGCGAAAACCAAAGAAGGACCTATTCTCCAGTGAATCCAAAAGAGGTACAGGCAATTATTAAAGCGATTGCAGACAAGGGAATTAATTCTGCCATGGTTACCACACCTATTGACGGCAATTTTGGGGGGGATGACATGCTTCCCTTTGACATCAAGCAGACGTGCAGAATGATTTTTGATGGGGCAGGAATGATTGTTTTTAAACAAGAGTGGGAGGATCAATGCACAAAGGAGCTAGCCCAGATAACGGGACCTGACCATCCACTGCACAGCTCCAGTATACAGAGATTGATGGGTAGAGACCCCACTATGATCACCCCCCAGGCCCAGGCTGAGGGATTAAGGGCCCATGAAGTTATGACAACCACTCGGGCTGCCCGAGAGGCCATTCGTTCTGCTTCCAAAGTAGTGGCTAAACCTGCCCCGTGGTCCACCATAAGACAGAGTGAAAGTGAGAGCTTCACTCAGTTTGTGGGCAGGCTTCAGGCAGCATTAGATTCCTCCTCATTACCTCCAGAGGCGAAGGGGCGAAGGGTCCCGTGCTGGCAGACTGCCTATGCCAGCAATGCAACTCAGCCACCAAGGACATTTTAAGATCACTGCCACCTGGGGCTAATATAGCCGACATGATCAGACGCATTGCAAAGGAGGAACACCTTGCTCCCATCCAAGCAGCAGTCCACACTGCAATAACCAGTGTGATGGCATGCCTTAAGTGTGGCCAGGCAGGCCACATGGCAGTAAACTGCCCCCAGCCAAGGCACCTATCAGCAGCTGCTCCACCATGCAAAGGGGAACTTAAGGGACCGTGTTGGGCATGTGGGAAGAAGGGACATTTAGCTAAGGAATGCAGATCCAGGCTTCAGGGAAACGGAAAAGGGAGGGGGCAGCCGGGCCGTGTTCAGCCCCCTCCCACCTGGAATGTGCAGCGGCCCAGCTACAGCGACCCCCAGTGGGGCAGGGGACCCACAGGGAGCAGTCAATTTTACATCCCCACCTACAACGCAATGGCAGAATTGCACAACACCACCAGTAATGCTTTCGCACCCCCCACCGCCACAAGCCGTGCCGGTGTCACAGGACCAGCAGGGGACGCCCCAGTGCGGGATCCCTGGGTGGCCCTGGCCATGAGAATAGGGAAGGAGCCCCTGATGGTGTGGGGGACATGCCGCCTTTACGGCAGTCAGGATCCCCACGTCGTAGGGCTCCAGTTTTGGGTGGACACGGGATCAGACTGCACGATTATTCCCCAAGCGCATTGGCCTGGGCATTGGCAATTCAAAGAAGTCCCTCCAGTTAACGGAGTGGGAGGGCAGTCCCGGGCATGGAAAAGCGCCCAGCTGGTGGCTTTAACACTTCACACAAAAAAGGGACCAGAACAGACAGTAGCAATCTACCCCTACATTTTGCAAAATTCACCACCCCTGTTGGGAAGGGATGTTCTTTCCTTGCTAGGATTCCGGATTACAAATTTATCCTGAGGGCCACTGCCGTACACCCTCCGCTGCCAATCAAATTGACTTGGAAATCACCAGACCCCGTATGGGTCGAGCAGTGGCCCCTGACAGAGCCTTGAATGGCAGCCTTGCTGGAACTGGTCGACCGCGAACTGCAAAAGGGTCACATAGAACCCTCCACCAGCCTGTGGAACATCCCCAAAAGGTCTGGAGAAGGCTATCGCCTCATCCACGACCTGAGAGAAGTGAACAAGACGATCCCACCCATGGGTCCAGTCCAGACACTGCTACCCACGAACTCAGCCATCCCCGAAGGGCAGCCGTGCGCAGTGCTGGACATCAAGGACTGTTTCTTTTCGATACCCCTGCACCCTGAGGACAGAGAACGGTTTGCCTTTTCTGTGGCGTTTCGAAACGGCCAGCGGCCCAACCTCCGCTTCCAATGGAGGGTACTTCCACAAGGTCTTGTTGACAGCCCTGTCATATGCCAAATCACCGTGGACAAAGCACTGATGCCGGTCCGACACTCCTATCCCACCACGACCATCATTCAATACATGGACGACATCTTAGTCGCAGCATCATTGGCAAGCCAAGTAGATCACCTGGTGTCCACAATCACGGAAACCCTTCAGGCCAACAGCTTCGAGATTGCGAGCACAAAGATCAAGAGAGGACCCTGCATGACCTTCCTGGGAGTGGGGATCACAAGCTCCTACGTGACACTCCCCAAGGCGAAGGTCTGTCGAGACATCAAAACACTCCACGACATGCAACGCCTGGTGGGATCGCTACAGTGGCTTCGCAACATCATCCTAGTTGCTCCCGAGGTCATGGACCCTTTATATGACCTCCTGAAAGGAAAGCACCCCTGGGAACCCAAGGAGCTGACACCGCAGGCAATGAGCTCCCTCGACTTCATCAAAAGCCAGATGTCCACTGGCATACTTGCCAGGTGGAACCCAGCCATGCCACTGGACCTATACGTCCACTTTACACCGAAGGGGGGAGTGGGAGCACTGGCCCAAGGACCTTCTGAAAAGGCCCGACCGGTTCAATGGGTGGTCCTCGGAAGACCTGCTCGTGCGTTTTCCCCAGGAATTGAATGCATCGCTAAGCTCATCATGAAAGGCAGGAAACTTGCCTTGAGACACCTAGGAACAGAGCCGACAAGCATCCACCTCCCTTTCCGCAAGCAACCGACCTCGGAGTCAGCCACAATATCGGAATACCTGGCCCTTGATCTCACCGGCTTCGGAGGAGAAATCTCCTACTCCTCCAGACCACCCTGGACTCAGCTGCTGACCGTAGTCGACATGGACACGCTGCCAAAGGTCATGGATCGACCGCAGCCAGGACCAACGGTCTTCACAGACGCTTCCTCCACGACTTCAACCACAGCAGCAGTGTGGCAGGCAGGAGAGCAATGGCACTGCGTCAAAGCATGTGACCCCACACTGTCAGTGCAACAACTGGAGGCAGCAGCAGTCGTCTTGGCATGTGGACTCTTCCAAGAAGAACACCTCAACATAGTAACGGACTCTATATTTGTGGCAAGGCTTTGCCTAGCCATGGCAGGACCAGGAGTGTCGACATCAGCAGCAGCCCTAATGCTAGAAGAAGCACTCTCCTCGCGACGGGGCACCGTGTCAGTCATTCACATCAACAGCCACAACCCAGTCAAAGGTTACTTCCAGATCGGCAACGACAAAGCGGACGCCGCAGCAAAAGGTGTATGGATGTTGCAGGAAGCCTGTCAACTGCACGAGTCGCTCCACATCTGAGCCAAAGCACTGGCGAAGAGATGCGAAATCTCGACAGCGGACGCGAAACATGTGGTAGCCACCTGCCCTCATTGCCAGAAGTCACCCCTATGGATCTGCGGGGTCAACCTGAGAGGTCTCAAGCCCTCAGAAATCTGGCAGTCGGACTTCACTTGGTGTGAACTGCTGAAGCCCCGAGCATGGCTTGCAGTGACAGTAGACACTTATAGTGGAACGATCATAGCCACACAGCACCCCAAAACTAACTCCAAGGCCACAATTCAGCACTGGCTGACAGCCATGGCCTGGCTTGGTATCCCCAAACAGATCAAAACTGACAAAAGTTCCAATTTCACTTCTAAACCAGTGCAAGAGTTCGCTTCAAAATGGGGCATCACATTAGTGCAAGGTATCCCGTATAACAGTACCGGGCAGGCCATAGTAGAGAGAGCAAATCAGACACTGAAAACCAAGATAGAAGTGTTGGTGAAAGCAGAGGGCTTTGCCAATGCCATTCCCCCAGGAGATCAGGCACGTATACTGGCAACTGCTCTGCTGGCATTGAATCAATTCCCTAGGGGAGATGAAACAAACAGTCCCGTTCAAAAACACTGGGCCACTCAAACGCTAGAGGAGGGCCCGCAGGTTGTAATTAGAAATGAGCTAGGCGAATGGGAACGGGGTTGGAGGCTGATGCTCACAGGGAGGGGGTACGCAGCTGTCAAAAAGGACAGCAAAATCAGGTGGTGTCCACTTAAGTCAATCAAGCCCGACCTTCACAATGAGCAGAATGAGACTGATGAGAGTTGCGAGTTTCTGTTTACAGGACATGCTCGTGGGACGTCCTCGTGATGCGTACATCCCCATTCCAGAGGAAAGCGACAGACCACCAAGCTGCCAGGCAGCACCCGAGAGACCCGCACGGGTGGGACCCAAGCATCAACGGTGTTTCTGTGTGATTTTGCTGTTGGGGCTTGTTGCCAGAGGGCAAGCCAGCCCAGATCACTACCCGCATCGGCCATTCAGGTGGGTCATGCAACACCTTAGTAGTGACAAAGTGCTCAAAGAAATCACCACACTGAACGCCCCATCCTTCGTGCTCCGCATCACCGACCTGTTTCCAGGACGACCAAAGGTAGACCCCCATTCCCCACACGCCACACACATGTACCTATCCTACTGGTGCCCAGCTTCAAACCCTGGGAAAAGCTACTGCAATCACCCAGGGTGGGGACATTGTGGGCACTGGGGCTGCGAAACCATCGTCACAGATGCCAGGCCGTCAGGGGCTGGGTGGGAGCCACAAGAGCCCGACAAATTCTTACAGTTCACCTGGGCACCCATCAGCTGCAAAACACCCCTCTTTTTTCATGGAAACTTCCATCGAAATCACCATAAAGTCCCAAAAATTCGGACATGCACTAACTACAACATGACGGTCTTGCAGCCGCATCACCCCAGTTGGGCAATAGGCAGAACGTGGACAGTAGTCCTTCAACGGTCAAAAGAAAAGGTGAATGTGCGAATTATTAGGCTCCAACTGTCGGCACCCCGAGCGGTCAGACCCAACAAAGTGATTAAAAGCGTGCCGAAAGGGAGAAACGCGACCTACCCCAAAGCCTTGCCCA